AAAAAGTAAATTAAATTACTTATAATATTTCTTTAAAAAAAAGTTCAAAGGGATATTTAACCTGGAAATATTTGCTTTAAGAGTAAATTATGAACCTAGTCACATAAGATGTAATTGAACCTAGATGATAAGGAATATGTATTTGAAGTAAGAGGTAGATGCCTTTGAAACTAAAAAAGTCATAGTAAAAAATAATATTTTTCAAGTAAAAAAAATATCTGTGTGGAAAAGTGTGTATGGTACGTTTTAACATAAATAACTATTGCTTCTTATGTAAGTAGAAAATGCTTCGTTTTTTTTTTTGTCAATGTTCCTCTTGGAATTGAATATGGCAGTATTTTGGCTACTATTACCCAGGATGCATCAAATCTTGGAAAATCCCGAAACACACGATAACTTGCACTAGAACAACCCCAATAATACTGAATTTAACTGTATGACGTCTAAGTTACTTCTCCATCTATATTAAGCTCCATGACATGTCCAATCAATCAGTAAATCAATAAGTTGATTGATCATTAGAAATCAAAGAATGAATCATCGAGTCAATGAAATCGAGGAAATCAACACTCTGAAATTAAACAAATTACATCAACATAAAAATAGAGTTAAATCAATTTCCTTTGTCTGAAATGCATAATTATCATTTAAATACAAACCTCCAAATTTATGGTCAATTACAATAAACCCATTCACACTTTCTATATGATCTACGTAAATAACCGAGGTATATCAAGTGAAAAAATACAAGTTGCTTCCCTTATCTTCGAGTAAAATTGATATCTCTTATGCTTAAACAAAACCGCTAGTTTGTTCTGATTAAATGTCCGCTTTTAAAATGAATTACACCAATAGCAAACGTTGGATCTTAGCTTCATCACAGTATATTCTTCAACACATCTTTTGACTCCACAAAGTATTCAAATGAACAGTTAACCCTACCACATGTCAGACCATTTTACATACAATTTATATAGTGAGAAAACAACCGGTTATCTTTATTCCTAAAACTACTGATAAGAAAAGCCTCTTGTCTGCTAGTTCTGAAAGTGTTTATCGGTGTATTAAATATTTACAACACATTGAACAGCTTACTTAACCTGTAGGTATATTAACTTATAATATAGCTATATGCTTTCTATTAGCCGCCACAATCATAAGTTCATTTAATGAAGTTATTATTAAATACATCATAATCATAAATAAATTCTAAACTCACCAGTTTGTGGAATTGAATGTACCAATAAAAGCAATATCTTCTTCAAACACGCATACTGTCAAACTCTCTCTCTCTCTCTGCTGTAACTTCTGCAAAATATGATAAACACAATGTGCAAAGTGATATGAATAAATTGTGAGATTAAGGAAACAGAGAGCTAGATTAACGGATTTTTCTGAAAACAATTCTCAAAGGTTCCAAATCACGAAAACTGATGACATTTCGAATCAGACCACACTCGTTACTTAATTAAAAAATCATCTATGACATACACTCTATAAAACACTAATTTAAACCAAATGCAACTCAAAATAATACTGACCAACTACCAATAATCCATATTTCCAATAAATTAAGAACACTTTGAACTTTTTACAAACAAAGCCGCTTAAACATAGACAAAACTAGTGATATTGCGGGAAAACAAGGGAAACAACTCAAACAACAAAAAAAATATATCAAGACACCTGAATTATCAACACTGTTACGCATCATGAAATCCAAATAAGAATTCCAAAACAGAATAAAATTAAGTTCAAATAATATTGGTAAGTTTTCTGTACCTACTTTTAGAAAATGATGAGATCAGCTTTCACGTCGAAAACTTTGTTTTGGTACGAACTACTTCCTTACGCAAAGTTAACGCGAATGAATACTAATGATATTTTTTACTGATTATATCCTGAAAACATGCAAATAATATACGATAGAAATAACACAATCAAAAATGAACTACTGACAATTCAAAATCTTATCACTTGTGTGTGACAAGAAAATCTGTGTAGAACTACTTTGCGTTGTTCGGTACCCATTCTTCTATTGCAATCCCGCAAATTGTGATAGAACTGTATTCACTGCTAACGCAGCGAATACAAAAACGATATTACACTAGACGATATTACACTAGTGTAATAACACTTTGACGTCACGTCATTTGCACTATAAACATAGCGTTAAAGCGCGCTAATGTTAGCGTTGCACTATAGGCGCGTCAAAGAAAAATGACTCTTGTTAACAGTTTACCGTTCTTATTTTATATATGTGATAAATAGAATATCATATTCGTGTAGATTTAATACTAAATTTATATTGTACTCGTTGAATAAAACAATATTATGCTCGCCAGAGGCTCGCATAATATGATTTTATTCAACGAGTTCAGTAATTTTAGTATTAAACCTACACTCATTCAATATCCTCTATTTAAAACAAGATTGCATTTGAGAAAAATGCTATACCACCGCATTGATACAACACTAAATAATAGTGTAGGATAGTGTTGGGTATCGGACTCAAAAATCACTATCGATAATCGGACCACCACAATCGATTGTCTGCCGATAGTATAATCGAGTTTCGCACTTATTATAGCTTTTTTTTCTTTTAATGTACCAATCCTTGTTTGTATTTTTATACAGTAGAGACTAGAGACCGCATTTTGAGAATGAATAAAATGTTGTCTCCAAGATTAAAGTAAGATTTACTCTTTGAATTTAAAACAAACAACACAAATACCTAATACTACTTTGTGACAGTCAAGTTTTGTATAATACAACTTTATGGCAGTCAATATTAGGACTAGACAACAGGTCAAAATATTAATGAGTAGCATTGTAGAACACTAATTTAATTACACTAGATAATCATATATACGTTTATAATGTTATGCTATTACACACTATAATTTTCTTAAGTAGCATCAACCATGTTAAATAGGTTTTGAATACAAAAAAGACTAGGATCGTCTGGAATTGACTGCATGTAAAAAAGTGACACACTAGGCAATTCAGCAGTGGTAGAACATTAAAATAATCGATTTTTTAAAAAGGACTATCGATTGTTGCCGATTTTGGGGTGGTCCGATTAGTTATCGATTTTCAGAGACAATCGGGACAACACTAGTGTAGGAACAGATTTTTTTTTGTTTCTATATAATTGAAGATTGTCATAATGCATAGATCCCTGATCTTTATAATGCATAGATCCCTGATCTTTATAATTCTTATTATCAGATTAGTAGTTAAATCCAATATTGTTAATCCAATAAAAGATCAGAGTAGGAATATAATTATCAATGCACTTAAGTCTAGTGAATTTGGTGGTGAAGGTCATATTTCACACAGCCTAAATTTCATGACTACATCAAAGGACAACACAGTAAGACACTTTCTCAAAATCTAGGTCAGCTGATATCAAAGTTCACTTTACATCTTAATCTGTGCACATGGTTCAAATTTCATAGCTGTACATCAAAGGACAAGAAAGTCGGTCACATCATCAAAATCTAGGTCACCTGATATCAAAGTTCAATTTTACAACTTAAACTGTGCACATGGTCAAATTTCATTGCTGTACATCAACGGACAAGAAAGTAGGTCACTGTCCCCTTGGGCAAGGCAAAATTTTGACCCAATGGTTTAATTCAAAACAATCTTGATACAGGTCCACCAAACAACATTTCAAGTCAAATATCTAAGCTGTAGCTTTCTCCCATTCAGAAAACATTTGTTTTATTTTCTATTTTTACTATGTGTACATAATGAGAATCACTACCCCCGTGTAGGGCCAATTTTGACACAAGGGGAAAAATTAGAACAACTTTGGTAGAGGATCTATAGATGATATTATATAGCAAACATCAAAGCCCTATGCCTTGTACCTTCTGACAATAAGATTTTTTGATTTTTTACTATATGTATATATTGAAAATCAATGACCCCCGGGGCGGGTGCAATTTTGACCCAGGGCTATAATTTGAACAATCTTGCTAGAGGTTCACAACACAATGTTTCATGCAAAATATCTAACCTCTAGCATTTGTCAATTGCTAGAAGAAATTTATTTAAAGTTTTTACTATATAAGTTTTTACAATATACATATAAGGAAAACCAATGATCCCCGGGGAGGGGCCGATTTTGACCCCTAGGCTATAATTTGAACAATCTGGGTAGAGGTCTACCAGACAATGCCTTATGTAAAATATCTAAGCTCTAGGCCTTTTGGGTCTTTACAAGAAGGTATTTTAAGTTTTTACAATATGTATGTATAGTGAAAATCACTGACCCCTGGGGAGGTGCCCCTTTTCACCCCAGGGCTATAACTTGAATAATCTTGGTAGAGGGCTACCCGGCAATGCCTTATGCAAAATATCTAAGCTCTAGGCCTTTTGTGTCTTTACAAGAAGGTATTTTAAGTTTTTACAATGTGTATATACATGTATAGTGAAAATCAATGACCCCCCGGGGTGGGGCCCCTTTTGACCCCAGGGCTGTAACTTGAACAATCTTGGTAGAGGTCTACCAGACAATGCCTTATGCAAAATATCTAAGCTCTAGGCCTTTTGGGTCTTTACAAGAAGGTATTTTAAGTTTTTACAATATGTACATATAGTGAAAATCAATGACCCCCCGGGGTGGGGCCCCTTTTGACCCCAGGGCTATAACTTGAACAATCTTGGTAGAGGTCTACCAGACAATGCCTTATGCAAAAAATCTAAGCTCTATGCCTTTTGAGTCTTTACAAGAAATTTTTTTAATTTTATTCTTATAATTCCTTTTGGTTGCCATGGCAACCAGATTTCTGCATAGAATGAAATTCTTTGAACAACTTTGGAAGCCCTTCACCAAAGGATCAATCCTGCCAAGTTTGGTTGAAATTGGACTAGTGGTTTTTCACAAGATGATTTTTTAAGTTCACTATATAATCTATAGAACACACACAAACACACACACAGGTGAATCGCTATATGCCACCGCAATGCAGATGCTGCGGTGGCATAAAAAGTCATTAGCTACTACCAAATGGCAAAAATTAAATGGTCTTCCCAAACCCTTCAAAAACATGTTTTTCTAAGAATATTATTTTTGTTATATTGTATCTAATTTATATCCAGAATAATTCTAAATACATCTGTATCAATAAAATTATTTAATGACTTTACCTGTATTTTTCTATTGATGCAATTAATTTTCAAAATTATCAAAAAATGATTTGAAAACTTAAAATAAAAACTTACAATTACTGGTCTTTTCTGATGTGCCAGCATCAGTTATAGTTGCTGTACAGCATGATGCTGTAAAGTAAAGAAAAATATCTTAAGAACGTAGCTGAAATGTATTCAATTTACAGAATCTTGTGAATTTCAGACATGTGGCGATTACTTGACAATTGTAATCAATTAAATTATGATTATTTGTCAAAATGCTTGATTAAATTAAATTACTGATTACTCCATTTTGACATTGTAATTGATTAAATTACTGATTACTGACAGGAGTATTCACTGAATTTGGTGGTCAATGTCATATTTCACATGGCCTAAATAAGTACCGCCAAAATTAGATGCAATTTAACTTGATATCTGATACATTTGCATTTACTTCGATGGCTATGTCCCCATGATATAAATAGAGGATATTTGTTTCTTTTGCATGTAAGATTGAAATATATTTCACTGAGTGAACACCAGATGCAATATGTTCATGAGTGGCGTAGCCACGAGTGAAAATATAATAGCTGGTGTTCACAAATGAAAAATATTTCAAAATTTATGTGTAAAACATAAATCAAAATTTATGTGTAAAATAAACCATCTCCATCCATGCATCAACCATGTATTCTCTATCTTCGTATCCGAACTCAAAACAGATTTTATGACACATCCGTGCTGATTTTGCGATTCCATAAATATGATATTGCATGGCCGTGCATATATTTTGATGTGACGTCATTAGCGTTATACAAACATAGTGTAAAGACGCGCTAAATGTTAGCGTTATACTATAGGCGCGTGAATGAAAAATGACTCTTATTTCACTTAAAACAGTCTTTCTTTGGGTATGTAATAAATAGAATATTAAATTTGTGTAAGTTCATTACTGAATTTATTGCACGGGTTTAATAAAATTATATTATGCTCACCAGAGGCTCACATAATATAATTTTATTCAACTTGTGCAATAAATTCAGTATTGAACTTACACTCATTCAATATCCTCTACTTATTAAGCAATGAAATCACTGTTTGGGATATATTATTTCCAAAATATTCCATTACCATGATTACTAAACATATTATAAATATACCTTACCATCAGTGTCTATGGCTTCTGGGATGCCAACCATTCCTGGCCGGTCACCAGTGACTTGGAGGAGGGCCTCTTCTGCAGGTGTGCACTGTGGAGCTTCAGGCCCTCCTCCAGTCTTCTTCCTACTTTTTTTTTGCGTTGTCAATTTTCTCTTTGGCTAAAATATAGTATAAAAACAATTTTTTTAGTTGGAAAGGCAATTTTTTTCTGCCATCTCAAAGTATATAGAAATGATAACTATCAAAAATTATCTGTCTACACAGACTTATGGGAACAAATAATCTTTTATATAAAATTAGTACAAGGATATAGTATGTTATGTATTTTTTGTACTAGTTCTATTAAAATTTAACACTCGTTTTTGCAGCGTTACACAATACATGCTTTTTAAGTTATTTTTTTCTAACTTTGTATAGGAAATGATGTTTGGCTTGAATGCAAGAGATGATCTTTCTTTCACAAAAAAAGAAGAGAAAAAAAAGGAAATTTGGCATATTTTGACATCTAAGTATATACATGAAAAAGTTCTTGAATTTTTTCTATCAGTGGCAGGAGTCATAATTTGCTTCTGTTATTTCTTGAAATTAGTATATTTATAGTGATTTAGTACTATTGTATAGAATATAAAAACTTCTACTTTGTTCATATTTTGATATTTTTTTCAGGTAATGGTATTAAGCCTCCAACATGAATGCTTTTGTAACATTTTAACATGATTAAGCCAATGCATATTACTTATGAAGAAAGAAATAATGATTTGTTTCTGTTTATGTTCAAATATATTATATTTGAAGATAATGATTTTGTTATCTTTTTTGGTACATTTCAGCTTTAAAACTCTACATTTACATAGGTAAACACTGAATAAATATAAACTAGAACTGCCACTGTCATGGCGTGAATACCCCCGCATACCACTTTGTCACAATCAACAGTGGCCATTTAGAGCTCAAGGACAACCTCCCTGCCAAATCTGAGGTTACTAAGCCAGTGCATTTCTAAGTTATGTATTCTCCATGCCTCAAATGTGAAAATATCAAAATCAATACACTGCGTACTGGTATTATTAAGCATTTCAGCAGACAAGCTTACTATTAAGAGGTTAATACACGGCAGGAGAGGGCCGGAAGGTGATAATCGGCCCGTAAAGTGAATAATGGACCAAGGGCTTTAGCCCGAGGGCCATTATTCATTCAGGGCCGATTATCACCTTCCGGCCCTACTCTGACGTGTATGAATGTCTTTAATACACTTGGTAGATCTTATAGTATCATATTTAAAAAAAAACAAAACAAAGTTCTTTCGTTGATATTCTTGTCTACTCTTCTACTGTTCTGTGCAGAGATGTTTACTGTTTGTGTGTTCAAAGCAGTAGAATATAGAAGCAAGTTTTATTTTCTTTCTTTTTTTTCGGAATAAATAGAGGATATTCAAGTTTTTTCTATGAATACATGATTTATTTTCATCGAGTGGTATGAAAATAAATATTTCATGAGTGGCGGTAGCCACGAGTGAAATATGGTAATTTTCATGCCACAAGATGAAAATAAATCATGTATTTATAGAAAAAACTTGAATTTTCTGTTTATTATGTACATTTTTCTCTTTTTTGCGATAAAATTTGAAAAACATTCCCTTAAATTTTGTGTACTGGTAGAATTTAAAAGAAAGTAGTCCGGCAAGACACCAGTGAAAATACGGAAAATATTTTTCACTGCAGTGAAAAATAAATTTTTACAGTGAAAATACGGAAAATGAAAATACGCATTTTATTTCATCAATATTTCTCAATATTTCATTTATAAGTATATAATAAATTTGTCGTATTATTTCTTCAAATTTCAATAGTAACAAAAATGTGTTTGTACTTAAAATACGCTAAAGCTCTCATAATAAAAATAAAGCGATTCGTGCTGACAACCTACTTTCACTTTTACAGTAAACTGTTTGATGACGTAAAATATGACGTCATTGTTTCAGTTTGTGCACGTGTACATGTTCTGCGGGCTGATAACTAGTTCTCGGCCCCGGGCCGCAAACTCATAATAGGTCACGTGACACTCATAATCAGTTGAAATCATAGGCAATTGTGTTAATATATATAGTAACAAGTGTATTAAAGTTAAAATCTCTCTGACCTCGACCTTTGACACAGGGATCATCTACTAGTCATAAACAACCTCAATACCAAATATGAAGACTGTTGACCAAAGCATTCTTGATCAATTGAGCAGAAAAGCTTTTTAGTCAAGGCCCCTGTGACTTTGATCTTTGACCTGGTGACCTCAAAATAGGGGTCATCTACTAATCATGACTAACCTCCATGCCAAATATGAAGACTGTGGGCCAAAGAAAACTAAAGTTATTGAGCGGACTGATTATTGAGTTACTGACCGGGAGACGTCCGGAGGGACAAGCTGATTCCAGAATACCCCCCTTACAACTTCGTTGTGCGGGGGGTATAAAAAATACAAATTTCATTAATGACCAAATTAGCTTGACCCATCACATTGAATTAGATACTTTAAAAAAAATAAAAGGAATTAATAATGAAAAGGATAAAAAAACAGAGAAAAACTAACTTTAAATACTATAAATGATAACACAGTGGATGAAAAAATTTCTTCTAAATTTTTCATCCACTGTGTTATCATTTATAATATTTAATTAATTTATTTGGTAATACAAATAAAGCTAAAAAAATTTACTGAAATATATAAAAATAAAAACTGTCAATACTTACTCCTCTGCTTTATGTTGGAAAATTTCTTCTTGATGCCAGCAACATCTTTTTTAGAATTTATGAATTGACTGTAATAAAATGAAAAAATATATAAAAATATACTGCAGCATATAGCTTTTATCAACACTACTTTTAATCTACATTCTTAGTAACTTGATAATTAATTAAATAATAATTTTTTAATGGAATTGTTCATTGTTTGAACGTAATCATTTTTACATGCTAAATACTTGTAATAGAATAATTTAAGAGCACTGAGCATTATGCAGCAATGGAGTCTCTAAATCATATAAACAAAAAGGCTTCAGGAGTTTGCATGACTTTTTAATAGTAAGTGATCAATTAACATATTTATGCACCATGAAGTTAAATGACATTCCATCAGCCTGCTCTCCCTCCCTCCATAATCTCCATCTTGGATGAGCAAAACCCACCTTTGAAAAACTATTCCTTACCACTTTAGATAAAGGACTTAATCTCAAATCCCTTCCAAGTACTTTCGAAATCTTACTGTTTAGTTTAGCCAATGAAGTGGTTGTCACATGACATAATCACATGGTATAGGAGCACCTTACAGATAAATGCTCTCAATTACAAATCTCAAATACTCTGTTTATAATATTCATTATCACATAAGTTAATGGTGTATCTATTGGACTTGTTTTACAAGAGTAATGAAAATTTATATAAAATTACACAAAGTAACAAAATATCTATCATAAATATCTGTTCCTATATATGTATACATGTAGAAGTAAATTTTGCAGTTTTCACAAGAAACTGTGATCTAATGGTTGTTATGTTTCACTTGATACAGATATTAACTACCTTTTTATCACACCCGTGAAAATGTTTAGAGTATGACAGCTTGATGTTTGTAGAACTTACTACGTAAGTGTCAGTTTTAAACAGGATAACCAATACATTTTCTTCTCTTTTTTAGTCTCTTTAAGTACACATAATTTTCTATGATACTTTGTGCAGCAATCAACTGCAAGATAAAATAATTACCAAGAACCCAATTATATTACGCCCCCCCAACCAACCAATCTACTTGTAAACAGTTCAAGGGTGTGTATATAATTCAAGTCACAATTTACAAAAAAAATCATTGCAATGATTTGAAATTACAGCATCATAGAAATTACAAATACTTTTCTTGTATTTTTCTTCGCACAAGAAATGTATAATCATCAAGTTCCATATATATTAATGTACACGCCTGTGGTGAAATTTCATCTTTTTATGAAATTTCATTTCAAAAAAGCCCAAACTACAATAAGTGGGACTGGGATAATAGCTTTAGATTACGTACTTGACACACAAATTATCTGATATAAACATTTGGCCATTCTCTTAATTTTACTTCAATTTAACCTGACCTCAACACTGGTTCGAGTAACATCACACATGTATAAAACACAATTAAAACTTCCAGGTTGTGTTTTTTAAGAGATATACATTTAATTTATCAAGCATACAGTAGGGTCCCTGATGTGTAGCAACACCCTTAAGGTCTGACCCCCAATAATCATAAGGCTATCTGGAGAGGACTGACACTATTATTATTATTGAAGAATAAGAATAAGATTTTTCATAATTGACAAAATTTATAAAGTCTAAAATGCTATTTGTACTACTGTTAGTGTAACAACGAATCAACAATATCTTGTTACTTGATTATTCCATTCTGACACATCTTTGAATTAGGAAAATATTTACCATGCGGAAACTTTTAAATGCGATTTGTTCAGCAGGACACTGTTGAAGACAACACAATCTTGTGAGGGTCGACCATCACCACCTGACACCCCACTAGAACCTGAACTACCTAATACCATATTCAAGGACACAGTATCACTCCTGTTCAATTTTCCCCATTGGAATGCCCTATCCATTGCCCTTAGGCCTTACACAGTTACAAGGGAAAAGAGTCAACTCGGCCCTATACCAACTCGGCACGGGTCAACTCGGCACGGGTCAACTCGGCCCACTTTACAAAAAATATATATAACGTATTAACTTTGCTTTGCATGTTGTTAAGGTAAATGAATGATAAGAAATTTCTTATTATCATATAATTATGCATTGTACTTTTGCTGAAATAAAGTATATTTACATAAAAATTGTTAGTTATTTGTCTTTCAGATTCTATAAAAATTAATAAAGATCTAATAAAAATGTGTTTCCTTAGATGCATTTTGTTTGTAAAGTAATATTAAAAAAAATTTGAAACAAAAACGTGTTTACTTAATATCATAAGCTTCAAATTAATTGCACGTGGTCACTAATCAAATTTAAATGAATGCGTCAATCATAATTATCACCTATAATTAATCGGTATCCTTAACATACGTGTTCACTGATTGATAATAATAGCCCGTGACAATAGGAGTCCCTTTAATTTATTTTACCAATTTCATTTAATTTGTTTGTAATTGTCAAAAGCTTATAATTAAGATTATCATAAAAAAAGAATAAATAGTTGCAATAATTACAATAAATAGTGATAACACAAACCTAAATATTAATAATTGAAAAGTGGGCCGAGTTGACCCATGCCGAGTTGGAATAGGGCCGAGCTGACTCGGGGGCCGAGTACGTTTTAGGGCCGAGCTGACCCGGATTCGTTACAAGCAAGTCCCAGTTTAGACCTCTGTACTGGGCAGCTGCATCCTTTTTACCAGTTCTTAGCCAACTTTGATTTTAACTTTTATCTCAGTCTTGTATTTCTTTTTAACTTGCTTTCACATTGTGTCTATAAATTTGCACTGCTTACGATTTTGAAGCATCGTGATGACTAACACGAGGGAGGTCAAGGTTGCAAAGGGGAATAACTACCACTGCTTCTATTCAAGGGAAATAAGAAAATTTACAATGACATTTGTAGGGGCTCTTTAGGGGATTTTTTCCGATATAGAATCTATAAGCATTTGTAAATTACGATCTCTGCGGGAACGTTTATAATTATTTTACATTATTATTTAGATCTACTACACATGAATAAACCAATTTTAATTACATTTTATATAATTAATTAAACAAATGTGCATTTGTTTTACCTGTTCAGTTGCTGGCAAATGTCATCCCAGCATTTCTGCCGGGATCTCCGGATACTCTCCTTGTTTGGGCCCGCAAGGGCACCAAACAATAAATTCTCGTTCCCAAGGACGAGATCTATCAAGGTGGACTCCTCTGCCACTGTCCACCTTGATTTATCCGCCTTGGGAACACATTCAACTTCTGTCTCCATATTTACAGCAGACGAAGTGTAATTTTCCGGTACTCCGGGCCGCTTATGTAAATAACGAAATCGACTCATTTTCGTGCTCAACTGAGATCGGTCTCAGAAGTTTTTATAATCTCACTTTGAGCTCAAATCTCAACTGAGTTCAAACTCGGAGTTTTGAGCTGAGTTCTGAGTTGAGATTTTTAAAATGTTTATAACCTCGGGGCCTGGATTGTACCATACATAGGAAAATCCGTATTCATCTAAAAGAGATTTAACATTATAAACCCAATTATTTTTATTATTCTTAATTTCAAGTAGACAATCATATAGTTTACTGATCAAGTTATTTTCCGTCGATACAGTTTTGCACCAAAATTTAATAATTCTAACATATCTATTTATATACATTGGAAATCGACCTAACTCTCCATAAATACTATTTGTACATGTTGACATTTTAACATTTAATAATTGTTTACAAAATTTTAAATGAACACGTTCTATTTCTTTCGATTTTCCAAAGCCCCATATTTCGCATCCGTAATTCAAGGTGGCGGCAACAAAAGCATCAAACAGTTGGCACATAACAGAGGGTTTAACGGCATAATGTTTTGTTTTATGTATTAAAACATTCAAAGCTTTTAATCCTTTACCTACTAATGTCGTCTGATTTAAAGTATAAGAGCCTGTGTAATTAAAAACAGTGCCTAGATAATTAAAATTATTGACATTTTCTATTAAGCTACCTTTGTATGTCCATTTTTCGTTTGCATTTAACGGGCCTCGCTTTCTGAATACAACAATTTTTGTTTTCTCAGTGTTGACTTAAAGCCCCCACTTATCACAATATTCATTTAGCAAATCAAGACTATGCTGTAATTCCACAGGACTTTTACCAAGTAAAACCATATCGTCAGCAAATAATAAAAGAATAAAAGTAATATCGTCAAGAGTTAAACCACACAACGGACTATCTTGTAAGAACAGTTCTAGGTCCTCTATAAAAAGAGAAAATAGTAGAGGCGACATTATCTCCCCTTGTTTCAAGCCCACAGCGCATGCAAAAAAGTCTGAGTAAGAGTTACAAGCCTTTTCACATGTTTTAACATGTGAATACATACTTCTTATAATTCGCAAAGCTTTGCCACCTATACCTAGCTTATATAATTTTAAAAATAAACCATTTAAATATACACTGTCAAAGGCACGCTTTAAATCAATAAAGCAACAATAAAGACGATTTTTATCATTTAAGATTTTTTGAACGATAGCATTAAGAACAAAAATTGCATCAGTAGTTGACCGACCTTGACGAAATCCGAATTGCGCATCACTCAATCTACTGTTATTTTCGGCCCAGCATGAAATTCGTTTATTCAAAATAACTGTAAAAATTTTTGATAAACAACTTACTAATGTAATCCCTCTATAATTACGAGCATCACAGGGGTCGTTTTTCTTAAAAATAGGTATAATTATGCCCTCTGACCATTTATCTGGAAAGTGACCAGTATTTAAAATAATGTTGAAAAGATCTACTAAATGAGATGACAATATATCGATACATGATATAAAGTATTCGTTTAAAAGCATATCATTCCCAAAAGCTTTATTCCTTTTCAAATTTTTAACAACAGACAATAATTCTTCTACAGTTATTGTACTATCTAGTTCATCAAAACATCCCTCCTGGCCAAAATCATGATTATTTAAAAAATTCTCTGCTTCCTCAGTTTCAAATTGTGCTATTTCACTTTGAAGAGACGAAAAATTGTTGAAAAATCCCTATTTGTTAAATTGCCACTGATATTACCTTTTGATTTACAATTGAATAATCTCCAAAAATCTCTTGGCTTTGAGTGTCTAAGATTTTGTAATTGGGTAATTTTATTTACTTCATACTGTCTACGTTTTCTTTTTATCAAACTTTTATAAACAGCCTTATTATTTAACATATGTATTCTATTTTCCTCCGTTTTTGATATATTATACATATTTACAGCATTTAAATAAACATATTTAGCATTATGACAGTCATGATCGAACCAGTCAGCCTTTTCAAAAATTGTATTGTGCCCTTTGCGCGTGACTCGCGAGACACGTTTACAAAACAGTGGTTCAACTACTTTATTAATAATATCAGTGAAAGACTGAACACAACTATTTACGTCATCAGCGCTTGAAATGTCAGAATTTAAAAATAAATCGTTTAATTCATTTAACTGGCCAATAATACCGCGTCTAAAGTCGGTTTTTAAATCATCATTCCATTGTACCCTGACTGATTCATTTTCATCAGTATTATCAGGAGATATATGATTACATACTATTGTGAAGGATAACGGGCAATGGTCCGACCATTCATTAAAAGGCTGAACGTTAAAATCATCAATACATTCAAAATTATTTTCATTCTATAATAGAAAGTCAATCGTACTTGACCCGAGACTGTTTGCATATGTAAATGAACCGTTTGCGTCATTTCCTAACCTTCCATTGGCTAAACGTAGATTACACATCAAACACAGATCGATAAGTTTTAGACCCATTGCATTAATTGTATTATCAATATAATTACGTGGACAAGAAAAATCTGGTGAATAATCGACGTCATCTATGAAATCTACATAACGGTCATTTTCTATAAAATCTTTCTTCGAGCCTACTCTTGCATTCCAGTCTCCGGCCAAGAACAGTTTGCCCAACGATTGATACATATTAATATCATTTTGTAATAAATCAAACAAATTTACATTGACAACATTATATGCAGGGGAATTCTCGACCCATATATATACACCTGCAATAAATACATCAGTAACAAAGTTGAAAAAGTGTTTATCTAATTTAAACCATAAAATAGTGTCATGATGGTTCTGTATTAATTTTACACCTTTACAAATTGAGTCTTTAATATAAACAACCGTGCCTCCGACAATGAGTTTGGTACAGACTTGGATATTTTGCAATTGGTCCCATGGTAACTGTTTAAAGTGTAAACAAGGCTATGTCGAGTTCCCACCATGAACTACCCGAAAGCTGAATACACCCATCTGTAGCAACCTTTTTCTTTAATGTCTCATTATAAATCCTGTTTCAGATAAGAACATTTTTATTTCGATATTTATATGAAGCATCATACTGGCGTCAATTAAAGTGAGTATTTAAAATGAGATTGTTAAGTAGACGTTTGAAAATCTAATCTAATATGCAAGCAGGAATTTATTTTTTGTGCAACTTAAAAACCATTTTGCCGCATAATATAATTATTATTATACTCTTACACACCTGCAGCTCGTGCAGACTTAATGCAACTTGTGTAGACTTAACTATTTTGTACTTGAGGGAAACTGTTTGCCATTTAATTGTACTCAGAGAGCAGGATATTCCTGTCATTTATTAGAGACAATGCATATTTTATTTTCCTGGATAAAATGTTATACTTACCATGGAAATAAATGACATTTTCATTATAACTATGCATGAAATTTGAAAATATTTCTAATAGCAAATATGAGGTCATCTCAAGAATGCAGTTGATTCTTAAAATGCACGGCAATGACATCATTTACAAGCATGCAACAGATCTGTCTAAAGGAAAAAGTATCATATGGAACAAACATTCATCTTACATGTATATAAGATAACTTGCGTTCTTTTTGAGGACGAAATTGTGGCGTCTTTTATGAAGAAGTTGCGTGCTTATGATGATGTCTTTCAGCCATGTTGAACGAATGCATCAGCAAAAAGACTTAAGTTTTCAGTTCCACATGCATTTTCATTTGAATGTCCCCATATCAGTACATTGAACAATGAAAGAAATCTTTAAGACCCTGGGTTTCTGTAGAAAATTAAAATGTTAAAATTTGTAAATATAAGGTGAATAATACAAGTGAAATATGTGATGATTTCGTTAATTCCAGGTCTTATTTCCAGCAAGTAAATAAAAGCCGACAAGTTGGACGTTAAAGACGCATTTAGTGAGAAGTTATCATCTGAATTGCAAAAAGGTGATGTTCAAAGAAATAAGATGCTCATACTATTTTAATGACACATAGATGTGATAAAAGATTTACGCAACAAAGTTTTCTGACACATATGACAATTTATACTGTCGAGAAGAATCATGTATGTAAAATTTATGATAAAACATTTTCTCAAGAACGGTACGTATCTTATAAAACATATGGTAACACAGACTGGTTAGAAGAATTATATATGTAAAATATGTAATAAAACAATTTTCTCAACAAAATACTTTGATCATGCATATGACAATACATACTGGAGACAAGAATCATAGATGTAAAATATGTATTAAAACGTTTTCTCATCGTGGTAATTTAATCACTCATATGACAATACACACTGGCGAGAAGAATCATGTATGTGACATTTCTGATAAAGCATTTTCCTAAGGACGATATCTAAATCATACATATGGCAACACATACTGGCGAGAAGAATTATATATGTAAAATATGTGATAAAACATTTTCTCAACGAAGTTCTCTGAAAAGACATATGACAATTCATACTGGCGAGAAGGATCATGTATGTAAAATATGTGATAAAACATTTTCTCAACGAGGTTCTCTGAAAAGACATATGGCAACACATACTGGCGAGAAGAATTATATATGTGAAATATGTGATAAAACATTTTCTCAACCAAGTTCTCTGGATAGACATAAGACAATTCATACTGGCGAGAAGGGTCATGTATGTAAAATTTGTGATAAAGCATTTTCTCAAGGAGGTGATCTTATCAAACATATGGTAACACATACTGGTGAGAAGAATTATATATGTGACATATGTGAGAAAGGATTTTCTCAAAAAAGTACTTTGAACAGGCATATGACAATACATACTGGCGAGAAAAGACATAAATTTAAATGTAAAATATGTAATAAAACATTTTCTTATCCAAGTAATTTGATCACACATATGAAAGTACATACTGGCGAGAAGAATTATAAATGTGAAATATGTGACAAATCATTTTCTCAACGAGGTGCTTTGATCACACATATGACAATACACACTGGCGAGAGAAAACATTTATGTAATTTTTGTGGTAAAGTATTTTCTAACCGCTATTCTCTGAAAACACATATGGCAAAACATACTGGTGAAAAGAATTATAAATATAGCATGTGATTAAACATTTTCTCAAATGAGTTCTATGAACAGACATATGAGGCTACACACGGGCGACAAGA